AATTTTTTATTTAAATTTTTGTCGTCATTGTTTTGAGACAGGGTCTTGCTCTTCTTGCTCTGTTGCCCAGGCTGGAGTGCAGTGGCATGATCACAGCTCATTCAACTGTAACCTAGGCCCAAGCGATCCTCCTGCCGCAGCCTCCTGAGTAGCTGGGACTACAGGTACAGGCCATTATACCCGGCTAATGACTTTTGAGTTTTTGTAGATACAGGATCTCACTTTGTTGCCTAGGCTGGTCTCAAACTCCTGGGCTCAAGTGATCCTCCCACCTTGGCCTCCCAAAGTGCTGGCCTTACAGGTATGAGCCACTGCGCCTGGCCAAAAATTTTATGTTTATTGAAGTTCTTTTTTAGATTTATTCAGACATTTACACTGATCATAACACTCCTGTGCATATTTTCTAAAATAAAAACGAACATTTCCTAAAATGTCTTCACACCTATAATTTAACTTATTTGAACTGCTTTTCAACTTGGAGTAATCTATGTCTATTCTATTGATTTATTTTCCTCACATAAAATGTCTGTGGTGCAGCCTTTCGTAAGAGACGTCTGTAACTGGACCTGGCATTTTTGAAGCCACTTTGCAAATTTTGAGGCGTGTTTGCTGGTGATAACCATGTCACAATGACTGGCTGATTAATTGTACAGTGCATCTCAAAGATGTAAAATGTAAAAAGTATCTTCAGATTGATGGGATGTGTCTCTGCTTGTCTTCTCCATCCTCATCCCGGAGACACTAGAAATCTCACCTGGGAATCAGTGAGATGCGTCACCCTGCCAGTGGGCTCCAGAACCTTCCCAGGGCAGGCCACCCTCTACCTAGCTTGCTGGAAGGACTTTTCCAAAGACAAGTCTAGACTTGTCACTCCCCTACCTAAAGCTCTTTAGGGAGCCCATGGATGGAACTAAAGACAGGCTGACAATCTGTTTGCATAGCTAGATGAAGAGAATTAAGGCAATGGCTAAAATGTTAATAACCTGATGGAAGAAATTATCACTCATTTTCAGTCATTTGGGTTTGATAATGTTATCTGTGACTTTCAAATCAGGGATCCCCACAAGTTCCTTTTTTCTTTCCTCGGGAAAGAAAAAAGTTTCTATGGAGAAAGACTAGGCCCTGTTTCGTTGTCCTGCCATGATCATTGATATTTCTCTAAGAAAAGATATTCATGAAGGAGCTGAGTCGAGAGACAGAAAGACCCAAGTATTAATCGTGCCTCTGTATATTAATCCTGCCTCTGGGCAAATTATATAGCCTTAGAGGACTGCAGTTTCCTAGTAAAAAAAAATACTCCTCTCAGGTGGTGGTTATGGGGTGTTTTTATTTTTATAAGATAACGTAGACTTCCCCTCACAGTGGCTGGTGTAGTAAATGTCAGTAGATATTAATCGTATTTTCCCCACCATATTTGTCTTTTAAAAACAGCTTTCCATCAGATTCTGAGAAAAAAAACCATTAAAATTAATGAACGAATAAGTTTCAGATTATGGTTTTCAATAATCTATACTTTTAAATGTTGTTATTTTCCACCTTTCATGCTGTGAATGAGAAATTGATCTTTTCTTCCAAAAGCCAGACTCTATTTTCGTATTAAATACTGTACTATTACTGAACATACAAGAAACAGGATCATATCTAGATGAATATATAAGGCAAAATTTGGATTCCCAGGTTTGGGGAAACTTTAGTTGGAATTAATGAAGACTGCTTTTGATCTAGTCTGCCAGATTCTTTCTCTTTTTAGGGTCTTATTATTGCTTCTAGATACCTTTCAGGTCTTACTGTAAGCCTCCTACTTTTGTCTTTGTTTTCAGATCAGTGATTTGAAGCATTTGTTTTTACATCAGACTGTCTAGGTTTAAAATCTGACCTCTACCAAACATTTAGGTGTGTTCACCTGGGCAAGTCGCTGAATGTCTGTAAGCTCCAGGTTCCTGATTTGTAAATGGTGACGGGGGACCCCCACCTCACTGAAGTGTTGCACATAGGTATTTAAAACACTTAATTTGGACTTGTCTGTAAATGGAGTGCACTCTGTCATGGTGGCTGTGGTTAATAATTTTCGCAAGGCATGACTGTGATGTTTTGCTGCTGATTTTGGTACCTACCATTCTGTTCTTCCTTGGTGTTCTTTAATTGCTAATTTTTTTTTCCAGACTGCACCTTTTAATTTGAATGATGATGATTTGCTGCCACCTACAGGCTGATGTGGAAAGAGCAGAACATGTCATTACCAACTTTCTTAGATGCTGAATATAAAATCTCAAGGTCATCCTGGCAGACTTGAAGCCAACTGGACAACCCGTCATCCTCTTTTCTGAGAGATTTATTTTCCTTGATACCCTAGCCACATATTTGAATAGAACCAGAATCCCCTTGGATTCTTTTTGAAATGGGCAGTATACATAAAGCATTGTTAGCAATCAGATACTGTATTTTTCCCCTTCTTTGAGTAGATTTGCAAAAGAGTGTGTATCAAAAAAACATGAAAGAGTCTTTACTATTTAAGTAATAGTTTGGTACCTGAGTTTTGCTTGTTTTGTTTTGGAGATCTGTTCTAGTTGGAGAACTTGGGAGTTCTGTACAAAACATTAAAAATAAAATAATGTGTAACACGTAGCTCTGTTATGGTTCTTACTGTGTTGCCTTATATGATTGTTACTTGAATGTCTGACTCCCAGTTTCAATCTCATACAACTTTCTTCACATAATCTAACATAGAGGATAGATTTACAAGCACACACAGATGCTGGGAAATGGTTTCTGACAGTACATAGGACAGCACCTTGATCACGGTGTGATTTGGCTGGAGTTGGAGTAAGAGGTGCCAATGCCAGCTAGCAGGAGACGGGTCCAGTAAGGGCTGTGTGCCAACCTCACACTTTGCTTTGAAAACAGTAAGGAACCACCAAAGGATTTTAAGCTGAAGAGTGACACAATCAGATTTCTATTATAGAAATATTATTTGAGCAGTCTGTTCACAGATATTTTAGAGGAAGACCTGTGGAAGCAATTATGCATTGAGCTTTTCTACCTGCTGATTGTACCGATTAAGTATTTTATATGCAGTCAAGAGCTTACTCATCTTTTTTGCCAGTCTGATTTGTGGTTTTTGAATTATTTGTGTTACTTTTATGGCTTTCACAGTTCTGTACATACTTTCCAGGTAGGCACTATTTTGGTGCTGCCATGCTGATGATTATTATAATTATTAACTACTGTTAATCAGTGAAGTACAGCAGACCCTGTACCAAGTACCTTTGTAACTTGTACACCATGTACATAAGCATCGTCTCATTGATTCATGTAATTCTCTAATGTTTGCTGTGACGCTGGCTGCTTGTTCCACAGTGTGGCTATTCTCCTTCCTTTTTCTTCTGCGTCTGCTCCCTGGCGCCTTGTGTTGGGCAGGATGCCACATTGCTGCTGTGACTGAACTGGCACTTCTCAGAAATGGTCCTGGGGGGTAGCAGGGAACAACTGCAGTGGCTGTGATGCTCACTGGCAGGAAGAGCGGGCAGAGGAGTAAACCTTTCCCTGGTTTCTTTGCAAAAAAAAAAAAATAAATAAATAAATAAAAATCTGTTGCCAGAGGAGACTTTGCAATCCCAAACCTGTAAACTGAACTGAAGCCTGAAGCCTAGGGTAAGGCAGCTACGGCCAGGAAGGGGGTGACAAAAAGCTTAGTCGTCAAATAATGTGCGAATATAATATTTTAAAAAATTAATGTAAAAGAAAATCATGAATAAAATATCGCAATTTTAAATAAAGACGAGATTAGCAGTAGTGCTGTTCATGCAGAGCCATTTTGGAGTTTGAGACACAAGAAAGTATCAGCAATACTGATCCTGCAGTTTAAAATTTTGGCATTTTGTTCTTCATGGGTTCTTTGAATTTGATTTAAAAAAATATTCCATTAAGATATTTATATTGAGTGCTTTAGTGGCCTCTTCAATTTTGCACCCGAGGTTGGGGTGCCTTTCTGGCCTCATCTTAGCCTGTGGGTAAGGGTTGGGCAGGAAAAGAGGGGAGATCTGAGGGGCGGCTGCCTGCTGGTCACTCTCCAGTCATTCTTCCTGACAGGCTCTGTTCCAAGGGGACTGGGTGCGGCGTGATTGGTCTTCAGTAGTGTGGAATGTCTCTATGTGGCTGTTGATCATGTCTCTGAACATATAGCTTAGTATTCTTTTATAAGGGTATCTGGATTTTTTATATATATATATGAGAGATATATATGATATATATATGGTATATGATATATATGATACATATATGAGATATATATTATTATTGTTTTTAAGCTATAAGAAGTGGCAGTGGCTCACGCCTGTAATCCGAGAACTTTGGGAGGCTGAGGCAGGAGCATGGCTTGAAGCCCGGCGTTCAAGGCCAGCCTAGGCAACATAGTGACACCCTGTCTCTACCTCCTAAAACAAACAAACAACAACAAAAAGAAAACCTACAAGAAGATGTTTTCTGCCTCCACTAATGGAAAGAAACAGAATAAAATTTACTTAGGACACTTAGTTCTTTCAGTGGTTACTCCTTTACTGAGTTTGTAAAATGTTGACTTTGATTACCACAGCAAGCTGAAGAGATGTGCAAACTCCTGCCCTGGGTTAGTGGGAAGGAGCTAAAATCTTTCATCTAATTTATACTGATTTAGTTGTACAGCAGTTTAAAGCCTCGGCAAGATCTCATTTTGGGCCCTTCACTCTTCTGCCATAACTATATAGTGACTGAGACTATGAACAGAAGCTAAGAGAATGCTATATTTTCTAAATTCGTATTTTGGCAGAATCTACTTGGTGGTTTCCGGCGGTTAGCTCAGATTTTTTGTCCTTTGCTGAGAGAGCCAGGTCATTTGAATGTCCAGAGGTGAGATATGTGGATCTACTCTAATTGGCTTTATTCTGGCTGGGACAGTGGAGGAGCTTAAAGAAGGATTTTACTTAGATTTTGTACTTTAAACAATTGTTTAAATCCCCAACCAGGTCTGCTGAGAACAGAGCCGGTCCCTGAGGAAGGAGAAGATGTTGCTGCCACCATCAGTGCCACAGAGACCCTCTCAGAAGAGGAGCGGGAAGAGCTAAGAAGAGAACTTGCAAAGGTAAAGAACCATTCCTTTTGTAACTTTATTTTTGCACTTAAAATGTACTGTCATTTGTGATTCTAGAGTACATGGTGATATGTTTATAGTTAGTTCCAGGGGAGAGAAAGTACATGTGTTTACTTCTCCAGCAGGTCTTGAGTAGGGGAGAGGAGATAGAAGAGGGTGACGTCGGTTCGTTTTTATATGAGAAAAATGTATATATGGGTAAAATAGATGTGAAAAGTAGGGTGTGAAACAGGAAATGAATGAGAGGAGTACTCGTGTTCTTCTAAGGGACTTCACCAAGGTCTGATACACTTGCTCTTCAGTGCATCAATGACTTTGTTCTACCCTTGGCTGTGTTGCAGAGATGGGCACTTTCGAACTTCCTTCCACATTTCCTTCCTTCCAGTTCCCTCCTTCCCTCCCCTCCCTTCCCTCCATTCCCTCCCCACCTTGCCTGCCTTCCGTCCCCTCCCTCCCTTCCTTCCCCTCCCTCCCTTTAGTCCTTCTTTCCCTTCCCCTTCTCTCCCCTCCGTCCCTCCCTCCCTCCCTCCCTCATTCCCTCTCCCTCTTCCCTCCCTTCTTTCTTTTTTCTTTCCTAACTTCTTCCATGAAATTCATTTAACATAAAAATTAACCATTTTATTCTATTTTATTTTTTGAGACGGAGTCTTGCTCTATTGCTCAGGCTGGAGTGCAGTGGCACAATCTTGGCTCCTTGCAACCTCCACCTCCTGGGTTCAAGCGATTCTCCTGCCTCAGCATCCTGAGTAGCTGGAATTACAGGCGTGTGCCACCGTGCCCAGCTAAGTTTTATATTTTTAGTAGAGATGGGTTTTGCCATGTTGGCCAGGCTGGTTTCGAACTCCTGACCTTAAGTGATCCACCGGCCTTGGTCTCCCAAAGTGCTGGGATTACAGGGAAGAAATTAACCATTTTAAAGAGTAGAATTCAGTAACATGTAACATTCACAATGTTGTGCAGCTGTCAACCCTTTCAAGTTCCACACATTTTCATCACCTCCAAGGAGATCCCTGTAGTCATTAAGCATTCGTTCCTGGCTCCCCTCCTTCAGCCCCTGGCAATACCTAATTTGCTTTGTGACTCTATGGATTTAACTATCTTTTGGTTATTTCATATAAATGGAATCATACAATATGTAACCTTATGTATCTGGGTTCTTTCCCTTCATGTTTTTGAGCTTTATTCATGGTGTAGCACATGTCCGCTTCATTCTGTTTAATGGCTAAATAATATTCCATTGTATATATCTACTGTATTTTGTTTATCATCCGTCCGTTCATAGGCATTTGGGTGATTTTCACCTTTGACTATGGTGGGTAGTGAATTAGGAACCTTTTATGGACAAATACTTGCTTAAGTACCTAGTTTCAGTTCTTTTGCATATATGCCTAGATATGGAATTGTTTCATCATGTGGTAGTTGCATGTTTAATGTTTTAAAAAAATTTTACCTTTTTTTTTAAGAGACAAGGTCTCACTGTGTTGTGTGGGTTGGTGGATTGTGCAGTGGCATGATTATAACTCACTATAATGTTGAACTCCTGGGCCAAGCAATCCTCCTGCCTCAGCCTCCTGAGTAGCTGGGACTCCAGGTACACGCCATTATGCCTGGCAGATTTTTTAGTTTTTATTTTTCATAGAGATGAGATTTTGCTATGTTGCCCAAGCTGGTTTCAAACTCCTGGCCTCAAGTGATCCTCCTACCTGGGCCTCCCAAAGTGTTGGGATTACAGGTGTGAGCCATCGTTCCTGGCCCATGTTTCAAGTTTTTCGGGGAACCACCAAACTGTTTTCACAATATTGACACCATTTAATATTCCTATTAGCAATTTCTCCACATCCCTGGCAATTTGTTATTTTCTGTGTTTTTGATTATAGTCATCCTAGTGGGTGTGAAGTGATATCTCATTGTGGTTTTGATTTGTGCTTTTGCTGTTATATCTAAGAATTCATTTCTGAATCCCAGATCATGAAGATTTACCCCTGTGTTTTCCTCTAAGACTTTATTATAGTGTTGGCTCTTAAGATTTAAGCCCTTGATCCATTTTGAGTTAATTAGTGTATGTGCTTTTGGTAGGGATCCAACTTTATTCTTTTGCATGTGGCTAGTTTTCCCCAGTGAATGCTTGTGGCATCCTTGTTTAAAAAAAAGAAATTCAGTTTACCATAGATGTATGAGTTTATTTCTGGACTCTGAATTTAGTTACATTCATGTATGTGTCTTTTCTTTTGACAGTATCACACTATTTTGATTACTATAGCTTTGTAGTAAGTTTTGAAATCGAGAAGTATGAATTCTTTACCTTTTTCTTCTTTTTGAAAATCCTTATTCCTTGCAATTCCATATGAATTTCAGAATCTGCTTTTCCACCCACACAAAAATGCTATTGGCATTTTGATAGGACTTGCATTCAATTTATAGATTGACTTGGTAAGTATTGCCATTTTAACAATATTAAGTCTTCCAGTCCGTGAACATGAAATGTCTTTCCATTTATTTAGTTCTTAATTTATTTTAGCAATTACAAAACATTTTTCTTTGTACGAGTCTTACACTTCCTTAGTTATATTTATTCCTAAGTGTTTTATTATTTTTGATGTGATTGAAATGGATTTTTAAAAAAATTTTCTTTTCAGGTTGTTTATTGCTGTTATATAGAAATATAACTGAATATTATATCTTGATCTTATATTTTGCAGCTTTATTGAATTTATGAGCTCAAATATATTAAAAAAATTTTTTTTGAGACAGGGTATCACTCTGTCACCCAGGCTAGAGTGCAGTGATATGATCATGGCTCAGTGCGACCTTGACTTTCCAGCTCAAGTGATCCTCCTGCCTCAGTCTCCTGAGTAGCTAGGACTACAGGCACTTGCCACCATCTGCCTGGTTAATTTTTTTATTTTTCAGTAGAGATGGGGTCTTGCTACATTTCTGGACTCAATTGATTCTCCTGCCATGGCCTCTCAAGGCATGAGGCACCACACCCACTCTTGAATAGATTTTTTTGTGGATTCTTTTTTTTTTTTTTTTTTTGAGACAGTTTCACTCTTGTTGCCCAGGCTGGAGTGCAATGGCATGATCTCGGCTCACCGCAACCTCCGCCTCCTGGGTTCAAGCGATTCTTCTGCCTCAGCCTCCCAAGTAGCTGGGATTACAGGAATGTGCCACCATGCCCGGCTAATTTTGTATTTTTAGTAGAGATGAGGTTTCTGCATGTTGGTCAGCCTGGTTGCGAACTCCCGACCTCAGGTGATCCGCCCACCTCAGCCTCCCAAAGTGCTGGGATTACAGGCATGAGCCACCGTGCCTGGCCTTTTTTGTGATTCTTTAGGACTTTCTATATATGAAATCATGTCATCTGTGATTAAACACAGTTTTACTTTTCCTTTCCAATTTGCATGCCTTTGATTTATTTTTGCTGTCTAACTGCTTTGGCTAAACCTCTTCAGTACAATATTGTGTAAAAATGGTAAAAATGGGTATCCTTGTCTTTTTCTCTTATCTTAGGGGGAAAGCTTTCAGTCTTTGACCATAAGTATGATATTAGCTGTCATTTTTTCACAAATGGACTTGCGTTGAGGAAGTTCTCTTTTATTCCTAGTTTTAGTGTTTTTTTTTTTTTTCCCCCAGGAAAGAGTATTGGATTTTTATGAAATGCTTTTTCTTCACATATTGAAATGATTGTATTTTTTTCCTTTTATTATTATATTAATGTGGTATATGACACTGATTGATTTTCATGTGTTGAATAATTGTTGCATTCCTAGGATATATTCCACTTGGTCATGTTTTATAGTCCTTTTGATATGCTTCTGGATATTCATAAGAGATACGGACTGCCATTTTCTTGTGATGTCTTTCCCTGGCTTTGGTAAATAGGGTAATGCTGGCCTCTTATGATGAGTTGGAAAGTGTTCTACCATCTTCTGTTTTTTAGAAGAGTTTGAAAAGGTTTGTCCATTCTTTAAGTGTTTGGTAGAATTAACCATTGAAGCTATCTACTTTTAGACTTTTCTTTGGGAGATTTTTGATACTGGTTCAATCTCTTTACCTGTTCAGATTTTCTCTATTTTGTTGGGTCAGTTTGATCATTTATATATTTCTATGAATTTGTCCATTTACTCTAGACTATCTAGTATGTTGGTGTACAATTGCTTATAGTATTCTTTTGTAATCCTTTCTGTTCCTGTAAAGTTAGTATTAATGTCCCCACTTTCATTTGGTTCTAGTTATTTATGTCTTCTCTCCTTTTTTCTGTCAGTCTAGCTATAGGTTTGTCAAGTTTGCTCATCTTTTTCTTCTGTTCCCTTCCGTTCCTTTTTTGAGATGGAGCCTTGCTCTGTCGCTGAGGCGGCTGGAGTGCAGTAGCAGCAATCTTGGCACACTGCAGCCTCTGACTCCAGGGTTCAAGCAATTCTCGTGTCTCAGCCTCCCCGGTATCTGGGACTACAGGCATGCACCATCACGCCTGACTAATTTTTGTATTTTTAGTAGAGACGAGGTTTCACCATGTTGGCCAGGCTGGTCTCGAACTTCTTTTTTTTGTTTCGAGATGGAGCCTCACTCTGTTGCCCAGGCTGGAGTGCAACGGTGCAATCTCGGCTCACTGCAACCTCTGACTCCCAGGTTCAAGCGATTCTCCTGCCTCAGCCTCCCGAAGAGCTGGGATTATAGGCACGCGCCACCACTCCCACCTAATTTTTGTATTTTTAATAGAGACGGGGTTTCAGTGTGTTGGTCAGACCGGTCTCCAACTCCTCCACTCAGGTGATCCGACCTCCTTGGCCTCCCAAAGTGCTGGGATTACCGGCATGAGCCACTGCCCCTGGCCGTCTTTTTCTTTTCTTTTTTTTCTTTTTTTTAACCCTTAATGCATTGTTGATCTTTTTAAAGAATGAACTTTTGCCGGGCGCGGTGGCTCACGCCTGTAATCCCAGCACTTTGGGAGGCCGAGGCGGGCGGATCACAAGGTCAGGAGATCGAGACCA